ATGTGAATAGAGGACTTATGAAATTTAACACACATGAACTCTTAATCAGTGTGGAACAAGAGCCACTTAGCCCTGTGGGTCCTTCAGGACCACGTGCGTGTACACAAACTGACTGCAGTCTATCCCCCGCTCCACTGAAGTGCTGCTACCTTGTTCCACAGCTGAACTTTCTCCTCTGCTGTCTGGCAGACTGTAAAGTGTACTGAGCCATTATAAATATACTGTAAAATGAGTTCCCTTCCAGTCTTTAAGAAAACCGATGTTTTTAAAGACAAAGTAACCCTTCTTATAAAAGTAAAGAGAGAAATTTTAAATTAATGTACTAAAAGAGCACAGAACAGGACAGTGTGTGGTTTGAATCAGCACGGCAAGGTCATTTAAAATTTTACATCATAAATGTGACAAGGTGCATATTGTAATGTGTGCAGGACATAAAAGTCTACACATCCCCAATAAAACACCAGGTCTTTCCACCTTTAATGTATTTCATAACCACTACAAAACCAATACTTTGAGAGAAAAATCTTAAATTAAGAATCTGCAGATTTGACTGTGTTCAAATTAATCACAACATCTACACCAGAGCCAGCAACCACTTGTTAGAGTATCTCTGATTAACTCAAAATAACAGTGAACTGACCTCGCGTTTCTGACATTTTCTTATTCGCATTTCACAGTAAAAGCCATGGTGTGCAGAGTGTTCAACAAGTATAAAGTTACTGGTCAAGAAACGGGTTCAAAATTATTCTCAAAGTATTAGATATGCCAAGGAACACAATGAAGATTGATATCATCAAGTGGAAAAACTAAAGAAAAAAACTGAACTGCATGCCTTTCCAAAACTGCTGAAAAAAACAGGAAGAAAACGGTTCAGAAAGGATACAGAGAGGTCTACAGCAACTTTAAAGTACATGGAGGAATTTCTAGAAACTGACAACAGTTTCTTGTACTTTTCACATGTCTGGGCTATGGGGTTGTCCCCTCCATGTTTTAGTATGCAGTGTCCTTTTCTGTTAAATCTTCACTTTTTTCCCTCTTTAGACACAGAGCAAAACTGGAAAAAAATATAGCCAGTTTTGTCTCATCGGTATTACATTTATATCTATAAATACAATTCTAGAAATCTTAGATTTTGTGAACATGCAAATTATTTTATGTCTTTCTCTCTATGTGGAAGTCTTTCTAAGTCTTTATGAATTACTAGGGACTAGAGAGTAATATTTTAGTTATATCTGCGTACTTTGAAGTGTTTTCAATGGTTTCTTACCCTTTTCCACTATCCTGGGCAGATCGAGCTGGGGTTACAGGTCTTCTCAGAATAGGTCAAAGGGACATGAAGCTGCTAGAGATGCTCTTATAGCCTTTACCTTTAACATGGATAGCTATAATCTAAGCTTGTCAGGAAGCTCTGACCTTTGCTTTTTCTGCTCCATGTTCAGCATGGTGCACACAATAATACCAAAGAACCCTGTGGCATGTTTGTGCCCTTCAAATCGGCCGATGAAAAGCTGAAAGACATCTATGATACTAAATAATGATAAATGCATAGTTTAAAGCATCACTATAAACCAAAGACTAATAGTCTCAAGGGCTACCAAAATAATCTGTGACTTTATCATAAAAATCTGTTTTAATACATTCTAGACATTCTAAAAACATATAGGTATAAATTGAGCAATTTCTTTGACCGATTCAGCTTTCAATAGAGCAAAAGCAACATTTCACTGACCTCCAAGGGCAGAATGCAAACATTTGACCATGTCTATTCTTGAGGTAGAAAAACCTCTAAAATTAAATTTGAGCCATTATCCAACAGCTCTGCTATTTCATGATACTCCACAAATCTCAAATAAATATGGATTATTATGGTGATATGATGAGATACTTTCAAAAACATGAAAAAAATGCAGCTGTATGAAGACTGAAGTACCTCATTTATGCAAATTCAAAATATCAAGTGCACACTATGGCTCTGTTTGTCACTGTTTGAATGACGCAGCGAGGAACATTAACATGAAAGCGGGCTGCATCTGAAAGACTGAATACAACCGCTTTACCAGATTGATGAAGCCATTAATGTTCATGTTTGAGCAGGACCTAATAGTTTTCTCACAGCCACACACATACATATTCAATGCTTAGTAACGACTAAATAAAAAATGCACGTTCTATTTATCTAATTAATTCAAGCTGTGACCACTGGGTAAGTACCCATTATATTTCAGTTTCAAAAAGGAAATTTCTCTTCCAGGTTGACCCATGACAGTCAATAAACATCACATTTAGCTGCTCATTTTTTAGAAAAAATAGGCTTTAAAGGTCTAAATTTAAAAGTATGTATGGATAACTGAAGCATAGAGTCCAAGACGGACGTTCAACCAATCGACTGAGACAGTCCAAAAATATAATATTGCTGTCAAAATGCAACTCTGAAGCAAATTTGTAATATTTGCAAAATGATTATGAAGAAGACCAAACTGAGAAGTCTGTCATGTAACAGCAATCGCTGGGAAGACAATATGTTCACTTGAGTGAATTTCAGCCTCGTTTACTTATTAAAATAAAATAAAGTGCCAATTTGTTGTGTCCTTCAGTATGTAAAAAATGTTTGCTTTAGTTAAGTTTTTGAGCTATCATTGTGCAGTATAATGCAAAGGCATATCTAGTGGCACTCATATTGCCACACAAGATGAATTGTCATGAGTGATAAGCTTTATTTCACATGCTGGTTTGTTATTTATGAACAACCAGAAAACACCTGCTGTTTGGCAAGTTGATAAATTGCCCTTAGTTACAACTCTGAAACTAAGTAATTCACCGAAGTGTTTGTTCTTCATTTTAATTGGGAGACAGCTGCGCTATGATTTATGGCCTCCGTAAAAATTAATTTCTTTGCCCATTAGATCAACAATAATTGGAAAGTGATCACCAGTCTCAGAACACAGAGACAGAGAGTATCATTCTAAATCTTATCTTTACAGTGGAACGTAACGGCTAACAGTAAATCTTTCCCAATACATGTGGAAGGAGCTCAACTACCCCCAACACTTCACAAAACTACAGCATACTTTGCAAAATAATATAAATTGTGACTGGGTCTGACACCATAAGGACCTTCAAATTGCTCTTCGTCTAACATCCTGTCCGACCCCGTCTGAACGGCAATTATTAAAGATATACATTGTGGCATTTTAAAAATTTCTCTTCGTGGAAGTTGTATGAGTGCAACCTTGTGCAATATTCATCAAACCAGGATATATTAACATGTTATCTGGTGTTTACAAAGTCTGAAATAAAGAGTAAGTGCAGGCACAGAGGTTTCCATCCAGTCCTGTGTTAATGCATACTTTGAAGTAATTAGCACCTTTATGACCATTTTAGTACCTGGCATAAATTGTGAAAACAACTGATGCAGATTTCCTGTTAGAGGCATAACCATCATCTCAGAAGTGGGGGGAACAAATTTTTCAGAGGTCCACTGAGTGATTTGTCATCCTCTCACATCCAACCGCACCTCCTTAGTGGCTAAAAACGCACATAATCACTAACAGCCACAGCTCAGCACCAGGAGACCGACTTTAGTTCTTTAAACTATATAATAAAAAATCTAAAGCTTTAGCAGCCCTTTAGCCTTGAACATCTTCAGGGGAAGTAGCCAGACCATTAAGTGCCAAATGGCAACACTGAACATAAAATGTTCAGCAAAATATCATTCCTGTAACTAAATTATTACTCTGCACACAAAATGGAAAGCAATTGACAAGGTAAAAGGGTGAAATAAAAAGTGAAATAAATAAATAGAAACTACACATGGCCTTCTCTCTAAGATACCTATAATTCAGACCGAAATGTTTTGAAGTGTGAATGAGCATAATTCTGAAACATCTGTAAAAATCCTGTCCTGACATCTGCCTGCTTTCTGTTTGCAATAAATATGGGTTTCTTGGCAAGTTAAATCACTCTTTACCTGTGAAGAGTCTGCATCACCATCCCTGCTGTTGGTCTAATATCTCCTCACAAATTTTGCTCTTTCTATACAGATTAATTTAAATATGTGGAAAGCAACAGTGAGCACAACTTCTGTTGAACAGGTTTCCCTCAGCTGGTTCAGGTTGACGGTTGCCAGGTCAGCAAATAAAAACTGGTAATTTGCCATTTGTTAAACACAGCTAATCTGAAAACTGCCACTTTTTCAGTGATCAGTGAACACACCAATATCAGTTTATTATTTGAGGCACTTTATTTCAAAGTTATGGGACCATATAATTCTTTTTATTTAAGTAGGATTGAAAACTATCTCTGATAAGGAATCAGTGGCACATGATAAATGAGTTTCACTGGGTTATTTTCCATAGAAAGACAATTATGTTAAAGTCCAAAAAGACAAAAGTCTCTTTCTACAATATCACCGTTGAATATTATTGGAATAACTATGTTGCTCATGACATGGCATCCTCCAGTTTCAACTGAGTGTTATAAGCTAGAAAAACATTCATGACTTTGTGCTTTAATACTAATAGAACTTAAATATTAATAGTGCTGACACCTTGTGTGTTGTTTTTAAACAATACACTGTCTATAGTTAACATGACACATTTTTAGTGATCATCAAATGCACTCTGTTCATTAAAGTCACTTTACATGTCCAAAGAGGTAACGGTTCATTTTTCATATGTGCATGTCTAAACAAATCTGTTTCTTATACCATAACTGTAACCAGTATCTCAAACTTCTGTTTTTACACAGTCTTTCCTATTTTATGGCCTATAAAATAAAAGGACTTTACTGTTGACTTTGTGGGATGGTCTCAAACCTTTATGAAACAACTCAGAGACAAATTCTACCTCTACTTTTATTTTGTAACATTTTTGTTGAAAAGATTATTGATAAGTGCTTCGTACACCAGAAAAAAAGATTATATCAAAGGGATCCACAACAGGCTGAGTTCTAAAATACAGAAAAAAACATATTTTGAAGAGAAGATATAAAGATAAACTCACCATTGAGGAACAGCTCCTCCTGCATTGCTTGTCTGGCAGCATCAGAAAAACAGCGTTTCTTCAGCCACTCTGCATCAAACACACTCATGTGCTGATCGGGCCACACAATGGAAACCTGAGGAAACATAACTACATACTGATTCTCATCAAAACATTGCCTGTTTTCAACTCTTCACATTTTGATGTCAAAACATGTCAACAAAGAAAACATTGCTGTTTTAACAAATGAACAGTTTTTGACCCACTGTAGGTTTTCTTTCATTAACATCTACTTTTTGAAATTCACAAAAATGGTTTAATCCACAAATGGAGAAACACTGAAAGATATATCTTCTATTATGATGATGTACTTTGACTATATTCAACTAAAATGCATTTAAAGGCACTTGATGAAGTCAGAGTTTCAGTATTTTTAAATAACTAAAAGCAAGAATGACCTTTTCAAGGAATTCAAGAACAGTAAGTACAGTGCAAACAGAAAGTTATACAGGGGTTATTTTAGTCAATTTACATAACAAAGGCAAAAAACATCTGAGGATGACTCTCCTGGATGACTGGAACAGTCAAAACTGAATCTGCTTAAAGCTGTGTCCCACTTTAGGAGCCGAATCCTTAGGGGGAAGCAGGCAGCTCAGAGGTGATTCTGTTGGAGGACCTAAGGTTCATGGTGAGCATGCCAAAATTAGATCATCTCCCTTTTTGACCTCAGCACTTCATCATAAGGCAGCTGCACTCAGAGGTCAGTGATTCTCATCCTGGCAAAGGCTTTTTCCATACCTAAGCACAAAGTTGTGTGATTATAATTTAACACACATCACTAGTAGAAATACAAAAGCAAATAATAATCTAGTTTATATACTTGGGTACATTTCATAAGGACAACTGCTCTAATACAAAATAAATACATATTTTAAAAGAAAATTTGAGCACTTACACATCCACCTGTTTTATAAAGGATTAAACATATGGTAATACAATGGTAATATGATGAATATTTACACAAGCAATAAACAGTTTCTAGTGTCCCTTGTGGATAAAAAAAAAACAAAAAAAAAACGAGGTAAACCACCAAAATGAAAACATTTTGCTGGCTTTGTTTAATTTCAAAAGATTAAACTAATCACTCATGATCTAAATTTAGAGGCGAAAGGTTCGACCACCAGAAAACCTCAACCAATCTACACTGTCAAGTCAAAAAAAAAACAAATAACCTACAAAAAATGTCAAATACACTAATATTTTATCGCCTTCAGCTTAGATTACGGCATGTATTCGCTGTTTTTGTTTCAATAAGCTTCTGTATGGAAGATTTGCTTCCATACAATGTTGTTTTATTTTTTCACCAACATCTTATATTGATAATGGGAGAGTCTGACCATTGTGAAAAGCCTTCTCCAAACCATCACATGGTACTTGTAGACTCATCACCACTTGACTATCTTCCATTGCTCAGAGTCCATTTGTTATGGTACCTTGCAAATTAAAACATTTGTCCTTGGTTAACCTCACTGATTAGTGGTTTTCTTATGGCTACACAGTTTTTCAGCCTCAAACCTTTGATCTCCTTTTGCTTTGTGCGTGTGGAAATGCTCTTATTTTTACAATTAAAGTCCTGAGTTCCACTGTTGTTGTTTTTTGTTGTTGTTTTTTTTTCAATTTGATTTCAAATGTTTAAGTGATCTTCAACCACAATCATTCTGGGGTTTTATTCTGACCACATTTCTTAGTCCAAGTTCATGGTTTCCCTCTTTCCTTCCAGTTTTATTAATTTATTGCAGAGTTCTTAACCAAAGTTTTAAAGTTTCTGCAATATCCTTAGATGTTTTTCAGCTTGATCCATGCCAATGATTTGTTCCTTCTTAAACAGACTAGCATCTTTTCCACAACCACAGCATGTGTGTCTCAGCACGGTTGTTAAGTGAGGAGCAGCCCATTGCATTGGTTGGGGATAAGTAACTTGTTGCCAACTGAAAGATAATCATCCAGTAACAAACCAATTGGAGGCTTGTACCTATTTGCTCAATTAAATCCAGGTGGTGACTTTTCTTTTGTCAGGCAGGGTTATGTTACATGTAAAGCCACTTTCTCATTTACTACAAATAAGTACGAAATATCACAGCTGCAGAAATTAAAATGTCTTGTTCATTGTTGACTTTATTGGCTAAGAACAAAGTCAACAATGAACAAAACCAGTGCTTGTTTGCTTCTTACAAATAGCTGTACTGCTAAGATGTAAAACCTTTTGAAAGTGACCCAAAATCAAAGGAACATACAATCCCATTTACTCAATACTGGGCTGACGCCACACAATGTAAAGAGCTTAAGACTAAGCAAAGAATGGTTTTGCAACATAAAATATTGGAACGAGTAATCAACCATAAGAAATAGGTGAGATAAAGATAACAACTAACCTTGCCATCTTTGGTAACCTCCACAGAATCCATTCCTGTGTGGATATCAAGATCAGCCATCAACAGCAAGCGGGCCTCAGCTGACTGCAGGGTGCAGCGCGGACACTGGCAGTTGTCTCTCAGCCAGGTGAATGGATACAAGCTTTGGCCTCCGTCTTCCCATTCCACCGCCATCAGCCTCTCCTCATCCAGAGCACGGACATGTCTCATTGAGTGAGCAGCCACAGGCATGGGGGCAGAACCAAGGGTTTGATGTCTGCGAATATGTACTGGAGTCATGCAGAAACTTGGTGCACGCAGCTCCATCCTACGGCAAGCTTTCATTGCCTTGCAGACCACTGGAGAGGGGCTCCTTTGAAAGACGGGACGAGCAAAACGTGCAAGTGTACTCATCCACATTTCTGAATGCTCTTCCCAAGCTTTATCACCAGCACTAAAAAAAATGTAGGAGAAAGAAATTATGAGAATTATTCAAGTCTACTTTAATGTAAAAAACAAAAAAGCAAACGAAACCTAACCTGATAGGAATTAGTTTACCTTTGCGTAATCAAGTATGTTACAGTGCCAACTCATGCAAATGTATGTTATTTTCAACATTTTTTTATAAAAATGTAAAAAGCATGGATTCCTTTATGCATCGCCCACCCTTTACTCTGATGTCCATAAATAATATCCATAGCCATCATTTGGCTCCAGAAGTCTTCCAATTAAATTAGTAAGAGTTTACATGTGTTTAATTTAATCGTAAAGTTTGTGGTTGTAACTTGTCAAAATTTACATTTTTAAATCATTTGTATCAAAACAGTAGTAATCCTGTATATAAGTGGCGTCCAACACAGTCCTCAATAGCCGCTATCCTGTACACTTTAGGTTATTTGCCTAGTTTGCAACACTTCAGTCAAATGATTGTTCATTACCAAGCTCCTGGGGCCTGGAGGTGGACACACCTGCTCTATATCAGGGCTTCCCAACCTTAGCCGCCAGGACCTGTCCTACACGTTTTAGGCGTTCCCTACTGCCACACATACACGTGAACTAAATGAATGGGTGATTAACAGAGTCTTTGATAGCGTGCTGTAGAGGTAACACAATCATTTGAATCAACTGTGCTGAATTAAAACATGAAGGGGTGTGGGCCCTGGGAAACAGTGCTGAGAAATATTGCTTCTTAGCAATCAACTTAAAATCATCTTAAGTAGAGATGTCCAAATCTTGTCCTGAATTACCATTGTCCTGCATGTTTTAGATGTCTCCCTGTTCCAGCATAGCTGATTCAAGTGACAGAAGAAATCCTAAACACTTTTTTGACTCTGTGGTGACATCAGTCATCTTCTATGATGGCGCAGCAGCTTATCTCATCCTAGTCATAACTCTGGCTAAAATTGCATCGCTATTGGACAATGTATCCCACCCAGTACAGGACGTTTTTGCTGAACTGAGGAGCTCCTTCAGTCACAAACAGCTGAATCCTAGGTGCACAAAGGAGTGTTTGTAATATGTCCTTCCTTCCAGCAGTTAAGACTCTATCACCATCACTGCTAACAAATTCTGCTAACAAATTCTGCTCCAAACTGTTATTTGTACAGTTGTTCTCATTTCAAATAACATTCCTGCTGTTATTTACAGTTGTTTTTCCCTATTCTTGTAAATGGAATCTTTCATTGATGCACAAATGCACATTTTTGAATTTTTTCTCCTCAGTTGCAAATTAACTGTACAGTATTTTCTTATGACGTAAATTTCCCCTTACTGCACAGTATATTATTTGTGGCTCTATTTTTATGTCTTTGTGTACATCTAAATGCTTGAACTTGCCTGTCTCTTTGCTGCTGTAACACCTAAATTTCCCTACTGAGGGACAATAAAGATTATTTCTATTCTATTCTGCAATTCTGAACTAATTCCTCAACATGGAATCAACATCTACAGGTCTCCGCCAATGACATAATTTGAATCAGATGTGTTGTCTTGTCTCTTCATAAAACTGAAAGTAGTTTAGTTCAGCGAAAACAAAACAATCCCTGGTCATAACAATGTATACGACATTAGTTATTAGCCTTTAATAGGTTTGATAAAATAAACAATTTTCAATTCATTAGAGATTAAATTACAGATAATGTTCAAAAACAAGACTATAATATTTTAATAACATGCAACTTATTATACCGCACGTGACTCGGTGTTTGACAGTTTATATCGTAGAGTTCACCGACATTCAAGTTGAAAACAGCCTCACAAGAAATACAGTCTCCAGCTGCTGGCTTAAAAGACTGAGCTATCAACAAGGCTGTTAGCATGAAGCAGGTTTTTAAAGCTACATCCGGAATCCAGTTTAAAACGCTATAAGCGAAACAAACACTCCCCCTCTTTTCCCTGTGGGCTTATTTATTTACCGACTTACGCTAAGGTTTATGAATTCAAGCGGCACTGACAAATAACCGGTAAAAACACTAAAATTGTCGGCAATAACAAACGTTACCTGTATTTTGTAAACGCCAACCGGTTGTTGTCTTTAGCAACGCAGCAGCTGTTAGCTTGAGAGGGGAAGTAGGTGAAAGGTCGGCCGTGCCTGCCTGTCTGGTCAGGGACAAGACAATCATAGCATGTAAACTTTGCTCTACTTTCTATTCTCAGACACACATCCAGCTGATAAACCAACTGAACCTGCCTTCAAACTGAAATTATGTTTTAAACAGTATTAATTTCCCCACACAGGGTGGCTTCAAAGAATCAAAGTAAGGTTTTAATTTCAAATACATTATCCTAATCAGCAAATCCTTGCAATCTCTATTTAAATAGGCTTAAGCTAGGCTACCTAGCTCTGTCTTCTAATCTTGATTAATAAAAAAGAGGTTTAAGCAAAACTATACGCAAAATGATTATGTAACCTGTGGCACCAGCTCCACCTATGTTAACTGAAAGAAGAGCAGATAGTCATTTTTGGCATGACCAGAGAGAAGCCATGCAAAAATACTAGGCTGGGATTTGAATCCAGGACCTTCTTGTTGCAAGGCAACAGTGCTACTAACTGTAACTGATCAGAAATCTCAGCGCTCGAAGGACAAATGTTGAGAATCGTTTTAGCTGCGGGATGGATTGAGGAAGTCTTTACCCCAAGAGGTTAGTTTTATCCAATTATAGTTCATCAGTATATTCATTGAAACCAAAAATTCAGACAGCATGCCCCTCATATTATTGGAAATTCAACCATAAAGAATTCAAGCAATGAGATTAAAAGTTACTTTTTCATAATTACTGTATACCTTCTCTTGAAGAAGTAAAAGGAAACAAGCAGGCAGACAAATATGAAAAACATGCTACAAATAGAAGTCAGCTTGATATAATGATGCCATTTAGTAAAGAAGAAATTAAACAAGTAATTACACAAAAGGTCAGGAGGAGATTGGAGATATAATGGGGGAAAGAAAAACAGGTGGCTTTATAACATTCATAGAGAAGTCCCCATAATGAGGAAAATGGGAAGAAATAACCATATTCAGATTACAAGAGAAATGTGGCTGTTTATGGAAAAAACAACAGAACATGTTTTATAGTTCTGCATCATAAAGGCTGTTGAGAGGAGTGAGCTGGTACAAGGTTTACAAGAAAACAAATTGCTATTGAGTGGTACAGTTGTACAGTACAGCACTGTTGTATTGCAGCAAGACGGTCGTTGGTTCAAATCCTGGATTTGGGTCTTTCTGCCTGCAGTTTGTATGTTCCCACAGTCCAAGGACGTAAGTGTTATGTTAAGTATTTCTTGGAAAAAAAAAGACATCAAACAAGACGCAAATTAAAATAATAGGTAATTTAGCCTAAAATGACAAAGTGTGACATAACCAACTAGAAATGGCGTATTAAATAATAAAATTAACAATAAAACCAGAGGTGACAATTATGAAGGTAAAACTAAACTAAAATTACCAAGAAATAGAAGTTGCAGTACATTGTAAAAGTATTCAACCCCATTTTACTCTTTGCTCTTTAAAAATTAGGAGCAAAGATTTCCCCTCTAAAGATGCCTGACTGACTCTCAAATGAGAGTATTTGAAGGAATTCCAAAGAGTACTTTTTTAGTGTTAAAAAATAGTACCCATGCAAAAAATTGTAGATTGTTCAGTTTCATTGCTCTTTATTGGCTCTAGCAGCCTTCATTTGAGAGTCATTAGGCAGGAAGTTTGGAAATGACAGAAGGGGAAGACGTTCGACAAGGGTCATCAGATTGGGACTTGAGCCAACTGCGGCGTCGAGATCTAGGGCCTTCATATGAGGGCTGTGCTTTACCTTCGAGCCACCACAGCAACCCCTAGTTTTATTATTCTAAAATGACAATGTAAATAATCAATTATTCCCAATGTCAAGATGGTTTGACCAACTCCCGTTCATGCCACATGACAGTGGATTGTGTGTGAAAAGGAACACCTTTCCGTAACATGACAGAGAAAGCTGTGGAGCCATGTCTTCCATTTGCCTTCAGATATTTATGTTAGACCCCCGTTTCTGCAGTGGCTGTGGTCAAAACACAGCAAAGACGCAGACTGAGCCTGGAGAAGGGCTTGGCTACAACAGATGCCTCACTGCCACTAAGGGAGACAAAAGTTCTCAGTGAAGCACAAACTCATTACTAAAATGAGAGAGCAACAATACTTTGTAACATAAATGCAGTTTAATCCACTTTTGACAGTTTGTCAGCTTACTTTCATATTGCTAGAGATGTATTTCAAGATTATTTGAAGCAAAAATGTTATTTAAAATCAAGTGTTTTTTTGCAAATAAATATTTTGTCTAACTGTGGCTGTAGCAATCTAACATCAGTATGCTGGTGCTGTCAAATAAATTGTTAATTTTGAGGCTGCAACATTTTTTGCATAGTTTTATTAAGTTTGAACAATGTTTAATATTCAATATTCATAAGAATTCTATAGGCATTTAACATTTTGGATTAAACTAAAATATCTCACAATAATACAACTTGAATGCTAAAACTCATAAGCATGGAGATTAAATATTAACTTTCAGGTATTCAGTCTTACCTCTTGTCTCTTATTTTTTCCTTGTTTTTCTGAAGGTGCAGGGATGATCTGTTCCAGGAACTGCAGGAGCACGATTGTTTATCTAAATGGTATACGCTCACATCCGAGCTTTAAAAGTATCCTTTTGCAATAATTAACCCAGGGTAACAGATAGCTGCTAGAATAATTATGGAGCAAAGATCATTTTCAAAGGCTGAGTAATGGTTGCAACTCACTCACCTTGCAGCAGGTAGGTGTGTTGAATAACGGACGTGGAGTCATTGGGTTGAAGTGTAATATCTGCCAAGTGCATTGACATAACAAAAATTTACTGCCTTAAGTTCCTGCAAAATTAAATAAGTTTTATCTGTAAAATAGCAGCAAAATATTATTCGGAATAAATTTAGTGAGACCATGGAAGAATACACCTACATTAACATTTTTTAGCTACTTCCTGTAAATTTAATTTAACACAAAACCTTTACTAAATTATTGATCTGAGCAAAGCAAATTCTGCCCTCCCATGATAAATGCTAAATTACATAGTATTATTATCAATATTGAATATAAATGTAAGCAACATCTTCACTTTGGAATAAAGCTAATTGTTTTGTGGCATTTCTTAAAGATGCCTGCTAGATATATGACTTTTCTACTACATGGCACCCATTGTTTATTTAAATTTTAATAAGAAAACTGGTGTCTTCCCCTTGCTGCAGAGACATACAAATCAGGTTAAAGGTTCCTCAGCTGTATGTTACACGCCTTTGTGTAATCGGTTGGCACAAAGTCTTTGTGAGCGAAACTGAACTGTTACATAATTTACAACCCCTGGTATTTAACATTATGTAGTTATGACATTTCAATTCCTTTGCCTCAAAGTGTCAGAGCGTTTATGCAACATTATCTGTGACCTTCAAAGACTGAACCACGGTTAAAATAAACAAATAGTAGACTGCAGCTCGCTGGATGACGACAAACAGGCTGTTTGTAAGGCCGACCGCAGCGCCTAAAACACGCACCCCTTACAACTTCGTTCCCCATAAATACCAGTAAGCAGCTTCTCTCTTCAAAGCACGTGTAATTAGGCCAGGGCCTGAGAATATAATTCTTAGCAGACCTCAGTCTTGTTAAGCAAACATGCTAGGAACTCTGTCATTTTCAACCATGTGGCAATATTTTGTATACTATAAATTATGTGTGTGCCACAGCTACATCACAGGGTCCCCCATGTGCCACAGGACCTCACTGGTAAGGCTTAATGAAAATCTTGCGTATCATTATATAGTGACATTACAAACTAATGGATTAAAAATAAGAATGCTGAGAAAAATGCTTTGATTCATGTTGCAACTCAGCAGCCCGTTGTACTTAATTACTTTATTTTAAAAGTCACAATACAGTCGATTAAGTATGTTGTCATACAGATTATTCCTTAAACTCAAAAGTACATGAGTGCTGCCTGCAGTCTTGTCTGTCAAAGTATTACACCAAAAACATAAACACAGATATGTGTGTTCCTTGAGTTGAAAAAGAAATACATAAACACTAGTACAGATTAAGGTATTCTGTTATAAAGGTACTCACAGTATTTACTTTTAATAATAACATGTATATTTTACAAGACTACACTCCTTGTACAAATCAGCACAGCAAGGGGCACCCACTTTAAAACAGAAGTCACAACCTTTAGCACTCAGACAGTAAAAATTGTGCAACATTTGCAAGCCAATAAAACAAAGCCAGAGAAAATTACAACTGATGCTTCGATGCACATGTAAACATTCTTTGATTTTCTCAGAAAAAAACATTCTTCAAGAGGGTCAAAGAGTCACAAATATTGTTTCTTTTTTATAGGATCTTTCACCCTGATTATGGTCAGCTATTTCACTGCTAAATATAGATTATTCAAAAGCAAAACCAAAGCAGGCACAAGGCATTCAGGACATACAGACACTATAAACTGGGCAATGTGATTAGATTTTAATTCTAGTCCTATATAAATCTGCAAAACATATTAAAAACTTACTTAAATCTCATGTTTTGAAAGTCAAAGCCTCTAGCTCTAATTCCATCCATCCATCCATCCATCCATTCATCCATCCATCCATCCAGCCAACATGACAATATTTGACATCTAGGGAATATACAAGGGAAATACAGCTACCCGTGTCTCATTTAGTGTTTACATTTTTTGTGTGTGTGCAAACCATTAGCTAGTTTCAATTTAGATAATTAAAATTAAATGTTGTGAAATATGAGGATGTATCTTGTTTGTTTAGTCAGATAACTATTATTTACGATCTGCTAGGTACTTAGGGTGTCTTGCCAGGATATCCGGTAGTTTGATCCATTAAGATTTTTCCATGTGGCAGAAAAATAAATTGTATTCCCAATATGTCATTTACAAATACTGGGGCAAAAAAAGCAAAACAAAACATGATGGCACTTGACGGCTTATAAAAATGTGAATAATTCATTGTGGTTACAATCCAGTTTAGAAAAAGTACAAAATATATATTTTTCAATTTTCAATTACTCTTACGAAGAGATAGTTTAAAAGCTGTATGCCCAGATTGTTTGTTTCATCTCAAAGACTCTATTACCATCAGTAAAGTTACTAATGACTTTTCTTTCAGGTACATAATTACACATACCAATTCAGTTTATCATTATTTTTTTTATATTTAAAACAATTTATTTAATTAAACTGACTGCAAAACTAATACTGACAAGTGGTGGGACCCATTTTGCATTGAATGTATACTGAATGTATACTCATTTCACACAAATTTAAAAATAGTTGTCCAATTTGGGAACTTTGAAATGAATACTTTCTACAAATTTATTTGTACTCACTGTGAAAACTATAACTGTCAATCCTTTCAAGCTACACTGGCCACTTATCTACTGTAAATATATTTATTTTTAAGAAAATAAAAAAAACAATAAATTTGCAATACCTAAATAATTGCAGCAAATTTACACAATAACTATTTTTTTACATGTGTTCTACAAATTTAAAGAGTTGACATACAGACACTGATTGCTCTTTAGAGCCCTCCTCTGGTCTTTCAGCAAAAAGACGCTCTGATGTTTATTATAACACATTATAACACTGTTTTGACTTGTATGATGTAATTCTATAAATTATATAACTGATGCCAGGTATGTATTTTGTTTAGAAGTGAAAAATGGAAGGACACTGTCAGAAAAAAAAATATTTGGATCAATATATTGAAATTTGAATGCATGAAACACATGAATTATGTGAGATTAGGCACCAAAAGTGGATTTAGCCCCGGGCCCCACATTTTCCTAAATCCGGCCCTGGTCGCACTCCACAATAAAAGCAGTATTTAAAGTGATGTAATGGGAAGTTTGAAGGGATTATTTTCCTATTAGAATTTGAGGTACTCGTTCTTCAGTCTGCTCAGTCTCGTTCCGTGGCTGCGGATGATCAGAGACAGCAACTCGTGTTTGTCCTTCAGGCCCAGGGAGATGTCCAGGGTCTCCTTCAGGGCGTCCCGTGTGTGTACGATCATGGTGAGGAAGTCGTCACTGAGCCGGTGCTCCTCCTTCAGCTCGCTCTCCTGGCTCTGCTTGAACTTCACCTCCAGCTCCAGCAGAGATTTCTCCGAGTTTGTGAACGCCTCGCCGATCTGGGCCGTCTCCCTGCGCAGATACATCCCGTAGCTGTCCTCTCCGTCCAGGTCGTAGGAGATGCTCTTCCCGATCCCCTCCAGCACCCGCGCCGAGTCCTCGATCTGCCGCTTGATGAGGGTGAAGTCGTCCCTTATGACAGAGTCCTGGTCCTCGTCCAGACTGCACTTTCGCTCGTCGGTCATCTTAAAAAGCATTTGACACTGCTCTGGGTCGTCGTTGTCCTCATATTCGCCATCCGGGACAAAATAATGATGAAAAGTGCCATTAGACATCTCCGGATGTAATGGTCCCCGGTAAAAAGCTCCGCACGCTGGCTGTAACAACATCCAGGCACTTAAGAGCAAGTGAACAAAAGCCATGATGCAAACTTGCTGCAGGGTGCAAAAAAAAAAAAAAAAACAAAAAAAAAACAAAACAGGGTTTAAATACTTGCTAAAATGCACTTTTAAAGGCTATTTCATTTCAGCGTAAACACTGCAAACAGGTTCCAAACTGCGCAGTTACTTGAAGCTTGGCCGTAGTTTCAACGTCCGCCTCTCCAAACAAACCAAAAAAGTGGCGTGAAATTGTTTCACGGCTTCTCTTTTTCGTTCTTTAACCCAGCTGGACAGCTTGCATCACCGTTGGCGAGCAGGAGAGCGGTGAGTAAAAAAGTTTCCCTCGGCGTGGCTGTAGTCCCGACTCTGCCTGGTGCCTCAAACGCAACATCTGGACGTCTCAAGTGCCGCGCTTCAGTTTTTGACTAATAATACCTCTGTGCTACTCTCAAATTACAGCCCCTCCGTCATTTCCAAAAGGCTGCTTTCAGTCTGGTCCAGACTGCCACCGGGGCCGGCCCGTAAAAAAAAAGCCTCGCTCAAACCAGAACCCAGACCAAGTTTGTGTTAATTCGCACATCAGTTGCAAGTTGGCGTATATGGTTCAAGATTATTACACTCCTGAGAAATACACAAGTGACCACATATAAACCTGAAATGCCCTTTTGTAAACCAGACCTGTAATTACAGTCCAGGCGCACACATTTAAAAATGTTATACTTTTTTTAATAGCAAATGACATTTGACTGAAATATTTGCAGTGTGGTAAATCTTATTACATTAAAAATTTAAAATAAATCCCAATAGTAACAGTATTGTCGGTATAAATTGAAGCATTAATTTATATTGCTAAATAACAGCACATTGGATAACATTATAAAAAATATTAGCACTATTCATAAAATAACTGCACATCCTTGCAATAGTATTCATACCCCTCCCTTGAACCTTGTAACCACAAATGCCAGTATAATTCATAGGGATTTTCCATGAAGTATATTGACTCTTTACTTAAATAAAACCCACTGCAGTCTGTTGCCTCTAGTTATGTCTGTGTATAATTAATCTAAAAATAAATAAAGTTGTAATTACTATAATTGATAACTTAATTTTTCAATATGGTTTTATGGTAAATCATGGAATAATCATGAAACAATACTTAGTATTTGTGCAAACAGGATGGGTAGATATGATGCCCAGTAGATTTCTTGTTGAGGGTGGAACTCATCAGCTGGTAATCTAGAAAAAAGATTTTTTTTTTTTTTTTTTATTGTGGAAGGACATTGTAGTGTGTACTTTAATGAACTCCTTAATGATTCTTCTTTGTTTAAGTTCATCAAATATTGCAATGCCAATGTGTAAAACAGCTCAGTACCCAGAAGGAATTGTTTAATTTGAGTGCAATTTGGTGCGGAGGCAAATAAAAGAAGGGTATGTAAATGATGCAGTTTACAACAAGCTGGCCTGTTAGAACGAGCAACACAGATGTATAAGTGATGGTGCAACAGCATCAGGCTGGCACCAAAGCATCCTGCAGAAAGTCAAAATGATAAAGGTTATCAGAGGCAAAGGATGCATCAAGAATGGGTCAGCCATAAAGACCTCTTACAGGTGATGAAATAGTCTTTTTTTAGAATTAGCAAAAATATGGTCACTATACTTCTCTCTTCAGATTAGTTTACAAAAATATTGTGACAGAATAAACATGAAATTTAAAACCCCTAAATTTTAACTCAAGTGTAAAAGCCACTTAAGTTCTTAAAAAGTAAGTGCAAAGCATAAATGTATTATTAAGAAATAATACGTTAACAACATAAAATATACTTACTTACCTTTAGTATTCAGAATATATTAGGGCAGAAGTTCAACTATGACCCGGTTTTATTAACTTTATAATGAATGATGGTTTTTTTTAAAGTACAAAAATGCTATCTGCTCCTCTCTGTTAGGATCACATATTTTTAAAAACAGCTTTAGAAACAGTCCTGTTTTTTTCTCAGTGACGATGCGTTTTCTGGTAAATCCAAGAGGATTACGCAGACATTTATTTAGCTTAAGAAAGAATGGCTCCTTCTGTCCTAAAAGGGAACACACAATGCCCCAGTTTATCACTAACATTCAAACTTGTATGGATAATTGGAAGGGTATTACATTTTGACATCTACAGATAAACTATAACGAGAATGCTCTCTCTCTGTTTGCCCAGAGTAAAACGTTTGTCTCTGTGAAAATGCGGGACAGCTGTGGCTCAGAAGAGATGTGTAGAAATTTCAAGGTTTCAAGTCCAATTCTTGATTGCACAATTTAGTGATTTGATCTCATGAGCAGCTGTTGGAATTTGAATTTTTATGTTTATTATTTAGTGTAATGTCATCAGAAACTGCTGTAAAGAGTTCTGTATGTCTGTGTAATTTGTTAGCAATGTAATAGGACATCAAGTTTAGTTCAAAAGAAGCAAAAATACACAACACAGTGAGTGACGGGAACTCCAAATGTATACAGGCTAGACCTGTAATATATTTCAATATTTACTTCTCTATTCCCAAAGCTACTAATTTGGGTGCAACAGAAATACAATGAAAAATGTTTTTGTATTTAAAATTTCTGCCAGTAAAGTTAAAAGTCTGAAACTGAAACCAATTTAATAAACAGGGTCAATCTTCTTCAGTTAGCTACTGGAGAAGAATGCAGTAAAGAAAGAACCACTTAGATTTTTAACATGATGAGTTCATGCACTAACATGCTAAGAGTGATCTAATGTCTTAGACCCACAGTGTCACAGAGTGTGTGCATATTTTTCCCGAGGAAACAGCAGACATCATTAGATCGCCTACCCCTGCTGAGGAATACTGCTCTCATTCTTTCCACTGCAGTGGTGATTATTCAGAGTTTTGACATGCAGGAGCTAGGTTTGAGAAGAAAGACTTTCACATGGTAAGCATATGGTTATAATCTTTGGAAATACCTAATTCTATCCCTTTCCCATACCAAAATAGTATTTTCTGTTTGAACTTTTAACAAGAAGAAATTATCTCAAAACAACTTGATCTATTATTCACTTTTTGGAAAGTGGCTGATATTGTTGTTAATGGAACACTGATAGAATGAAGAAACCACAGAGATATAAAAATCACAATTTTTTATTACAGGATTACAACAAAATATGTAGTTTTTGCATAGTGAAAATCACCCCATGTCAGAGGGGATCCAATGGCAAGTTGCCAGAATAGTCCTAAACACAGAAATCCTGGTAACAAGGTGATTTATTGGCTTTTGTGAACACCGTGCTGGATAATAGGCTTTAACGGATTTCTTTCTGCATTCTAAAACATTTTCATTCAGTTAGATGAGCTTTTGGAAGATGGAGACCTCGTCTGCATCTATGTTTGAGTCAGAATATGACAGTAATGATCCATGAACCATAACGGATACTGAGTGTCTTCATGGTCAGTCTTCACAAGTTAAACTTTTATTCCTTTCTCCACTTGTTTGTCACACGTCAACATAAATTTAGACTGCTCTAGCTTCTACCACTGGAACACTAGCCATACAAATTGACTGCTTCATAGTGCACGTTTTGTGACTTATGCAAATCTGGTGGTTAATCTCACTCTACCTCTAATCATGTTCCATGTGCAATTATGTTGAAACTAGCCAGTTTGACTGGACTAACACTGATATTTCTGCATGTCGATCATTCTTTGCAGTCGTAACAGATGATGTGGTTGTTTGCAGCCGTCTATAGGATATATAATTGCTGCTTCAACATAAAATCTGTCTACTGCAGCTTGCCTTCGTCTTCTTTATGAACAGTTTCTGTGCATTTGCTTTTCACTGCTGCGTAATTATCCAAAAAGTTAGTAAAGTTCTAAAAATATAGTTCAGGGATTTTCTGCAGCTGTACAGAAGACAAGTAAAACCTACAAATGTGAATTAAAATTACATATTAAAAAACAAATCACTGTGCTTTGTGTGTGTTTTTTCTTGTTTGGCTATAGACCAGTTTAGGACATCTGTGAAACATGTACATGGAAAGCTGAATTATGTTTTGTATTTCAACAAAATAAGCACAGAAAAGAAGTGTTTGTGCCATTCGTTTTTTCAAAGGGTGAACTTTATAAGCTGATTGATTTTTTTTGTGTGTGTTAGCTTGGCCAACTTCCTTAAACTGCATATCTTTATGAGGCAATAAAACAAAAGGCAGAATGGCAATTAGTCTAATAGGGGTATTAGTTGATGTTTTTCAAAGGCCATTAAAGCAACCTAAGAGTCATCTGAGAGTCATTTTCTCATTAGTCAAATAAGAATTTCTTCACATTAAGATTCCACAGCAAACCCCTTAACAGGCTTATGTATAAAAAGGGCTATATGCTGATTCGTTAACACATTTGAAAGGCCAAAAATATTTTCATTAGTTTTCACCTGTTTCCTTTTTTTAATGAGAATTGTTCAAATGTGTCAGCCGAATCCATCTGTGTGCATGGATACAGATGGATCCATGCACACAGATGGATGCATGGAAGAACAGCTGACAAAAACTCAACTGTTCTTTGTTTAGAATTAATATTGCAAGTTTAATTAAATTGGGCTTTTCTAAGAGTCGTCAATTTCTCTAACAAAAGTGTGCAATTTTACAAAAGCGAGACTGATCAATCAACGACAAACTGTTCCTCTGTTTCTTTGTGCTGCAACTTGCCCGCTCATTTTCAAAAAGATTTGTTAAAAGAGAAGCTAATGAAGCCACCAGCACATCCACAAGGCGACTCTGAAACAAATTAAACCTAAAATATGATTTCTCTAAAATTCAATTTCACATGTTCAGCATTTCTATTATGCTCTTATTGTATGTTTTCCAGTAATAGAGCATTTAAAACTAATAACAGATACTTTCTTTTCTTTTAAATTGCCTCTCAGATTATGAAAGCAGGGTTAAAATTGGCAAATGGAACATGAGTGAATATGTTACATAAGCCTTACATAAACCACTGTCTGCAATGTGTATCAGGGTGATTGACGATGTGCAGAAATTCCACATTTCTCATTCCTCTTTCTGTCAGTATCCGACCTCAATAACATGAAAAACTAAAACAACACCGCCTGACGTGATTCGATCACTTGGGCTTTGTCTCAGTATCACTGCAGCTCACAGGTTTCTGTAGATTTCTAATTATGGGTTTAATCTAAAGTACTGAGATGTGTTAGAAAGTTCTGACAGCTTCTGGCAGGGTTCCTCCTGATGTGCATTGCCTTTTCAGGTTGCCTGCAGACAGAGTCAGCCACAGTGTGCTGTACTTTTAGCAATTTAAACTAACTTGAAGCATCTTTCTGGGTTTGACTTGTTTTCATGAGATTGCATTAACAGCATTTTGATATCGCACCAATTTTTATACACAAAGTGGCTCAGTAAAAATTGCCTGTTTGGATAGAAATAATGACTTGGTCATTAATTGTCTGCTTTTCTTAAAATTTAGCACGCCTCTTGGTAAGGAATGAGAATAATGTCAAACTCAAAGGGGCATGAAGAGGCCTAACAAGCGCCTGCCTCTGACATTATGCTGCAGAAGAAATTTAATATGGTGTCAGACTAAAAAAAGGAATATAGAAAATGAAGTCACAGCATGGCTTTAGGGTGGAATGCTATTTTGATTGGAAGTATTTGGCTATATGCACCTAAAACTAAAATTATTCAAATTTACTTATAAATAATTTTCACTCCTACTCGCAAAGGAGTCATGGGATAGCATCTTATTGTGG